GCCATAACTAGCCTCTATTGCAGTACACTCCCGAGAAGTTTGGCAATTGCAGATTTGGGTTGCTCTTCTGGACCAAAAACTCTATTTGTTGCGTCTGAACTCATCAAAACTGTGGAGAAGCTTTCTCGGAAGCTGAAACATAAATCTCCAGAGTACAGGGTGTTTCTGAATGATCTGCCTGGGAATGACTTCAACAACATCTTTAAGTCCCTTGACAGCTTTAAAATGAAATTGCAAACAGAAGTGGCAGGTGGGATTGGTCCATGCTACTTCTCTGGGGTTCCAGGATCTTTCTATGGCAGGGCTTTCCCGAATCAAAGCTTACATTTTGTCCATTCCTCTTACAGTCTTCAATGGCTATCTAAGGTACATGCGCATGCAAATGGAGCATTTGATATTTGTATTTTGTGGGAGCTACTAATGTAATACATGAACTATAAATAATAATAATTATGTATCGGTGATTGTATTAGGTTCCTGAGGGTGTGGACAACAACAAGGGCAACATTTATTTAGGCAGAACAAGCCCATCAAATGTTGTGAGAGCTTACTATGACCAATTTCAAAGAGATTTCAGTGTTTTTCTCAAGTGTCGAGCAGAGGAACTAGTTCAAGGAGGTCGTATGGTTCTGACATTTTTGGGGAGAAGAAACGAGGATCCATGTAGCAAGGATGGTTGCTACATTTGGGAGCTTATGGCTAATGCTCTTAATGATATGGTTTCGCAGGTAATTATTCACGGATCCAGTTTCTGAGGAGGTGAAAAGATGACTTAACCATGCATGAAAATCTGAGTTTTAACATAAACTATAGAAGGGCTTTTTTTCTTTAGTATTATCCTCTTTCCTTTGCAGTGTTTAACATTAATTTCCCAAGTTGTCTGTCGAAACATATGTATAAATCTTGGAAGATGCATGAGTGTAAATCTTTTCACTGTTTTGCTGCAGGGAATCATAAAGGAAGAGCAAGTAGATAGTTTTAACATCCCACAATACACTCCATCAGCTTCTGAAGTGAAATTGGAAGTTCTTAAAGAAGGATCGTTCGCCATCAATCGTGTGGAAGTCTCTGAAGTGAACTGGAACGCTTTTGATGAATGGACCGCTCTTGATTTTGAATCTGAAAGGTCTGAATCAATCGGTGATGGTGGATACAACGTGGCACAGTGCATGAGGGCTGTGGCAGAACCTATGCTGGTAAGTCACTTTGGTGAAGACATCATTGAAGAGGTTTTCAGCCGCTACCAGCAAATCTTGGCTGATCGAATGTCCAAGGAAAAAACTCAGTTCTTCAATGTCACTGTGTTATTGAGTCGAAAAGATTAAGCAAGAAGTTTGCATTGCATCTATATATATATATATATATATATATATATATATATATGTGTGTGTGTGTGTGTATGTATGGTTTGCTCCTTTCTTTTCTGGCAATTATGAGTAGCAAAAATGTTAAGCTGGAATAGAATAAAGTTAGAATTGTGTGGTGTTTATTAGCAACTTTTTTTTTTTTTTAAATATTTGTAGTTCTGTGATAAAAATTATTCTTGTAAGATTATGATATGATTAGTAGTCAATGATAGATGCTTCAATGCTGTTTATTCACTCGCCAAACATTGATTAAACTCAATGGAAAGTCTGAGTTGTATTGAATTTAGTGCTTTATTTTTTATCTGTTACCAAAATATTATAAATTAATGGAACAAATAAAAGATATTCTAACGGAATAATAAAAGTTAGAATAATGGAAAGTTACTCACAAAGAAAAAGTAAATTTGAAAAGGATCACTGGTAATGACAATCTTGTTGATCTGATACCTTGGGATGAAGCTGCCAAATCTTGCAATTATAATTAGGCTTCCTTTGCAATTTTATGTGCAAAACTTTCGTTGACTAATTTAAATCCTCTGTAAACTTGGCGAAGAATTAGGATAAGGTTTGGAAATTTTTGGAGCTTTGAGTCATCAGAGTGTCTCCAAGATTTCCTAATATAAACAATATTTATTATATTTTGGACATTATATAAATGGTATAGTTATTTTTTATGAGTTGTATTAATTTAAACATTTCATATAATTCAACCAAAAGCTCCGCAGTCATAACTATTAACTTTTATTGTGCAAAATATATCTTATTTCCTCTTGATAATTTTATTCACTCACTTCTTTGAAAGAAGAAAAGTGAAATAGATTGATTTTCTATTTTAATAACATTTTTAAATGTAACATTCATATTTGACATATTTACACTATTAATCAAAATATTACAACTTAAATATCTATTTATAGTGCTCCTTAATATGTTAAATAAATTTCTTACAATATATAAAATTTATATACAATATAAACAATACAATATGACTATACTCTAATCAACTACCACCAGTCTCATTGTTTATCAACTTTCATACCTGCATTATTGTCTATTTACCTATAGTATACTATCATTACAAACAGATAAATCACAACAAGCACAAAAATATGATAAGTTAGTGTAAATTTAAATCATATTAATTATAAATATAGTAACATTCTTATCCTAAGAATCATTGCCCTCTTATTTCACATCCCACATATCAAACCAAACTAAAGTACAACTAAATCAAAGCTTCTACAACATTCACACATTCCATACTTCTTCTTTTTCCTATAAAATCTTAAATCATCACACATATAATACATTATCTTACTTCAATCCCAACTTATCATATATCATCAATCACATATTATTTAATTATTTTTTAATGTTAATAATTCATAACTTACTTTTTGTTGTATTAACATAATATTCACATACAATATTTTTATTTATATCAAAATTTTTAAAAACATTACTCTAACCATAGACCTCTAATCAAATATTTCAATGGTCAAAGTGAAAAATCATGCGTCTAGGACTAGTTGTCAAAATTTCATCATAATCCAACATTAATGAAATAAGAATCCAAATATTCTCGAGATGACTTAAAAAAAATATGACATTTGATGTTGAGTAAGTTTTGCCAAGCGCTAAAATCTCCTAGGACTCGTTGACTTGAGAGCACCTGTGATCCATAAGTGTCATCCAACGCCAACAAGTCAATGAAATATTGTTTGATTGACGCCAATAGTACTACAAGGACGCTCGACATTGCACCAAATATTTAAAATTTCTTTATAAGTATTAATTGATCAATTGAACTATTCTTGAGCTATTTATTATTTAATATACTTTATAAGATCATGATGTAATCCTATTTTAGCTCAAGAATTACCAATTTGAATAATTAATTGTCTCATATTTAGTTATATATATATATATATATATATATATATATATATATATATATATATATATATTATTGACTAAATCAGATAAATAACGGTGGCATGAAATTGTACAAATGTCATTGTGCTTTATCTATCCTATATTTACCTCTCTTATTTTTCTTATAAAATATTACATTAATATTGTATTTACATTGTTTGAATAACATTATGCATTAATAAGGGGTGTTATTGTAAGTGAGATATTTGTATAATTTCATGAAATCTTCAATATAATTACTGTAATTTACACTATATTTTAAAATGTGAACGTTTGTTCATTAATTCAAGATTAATATATATCATTTAACAGTTATAAAACATAATATTAAGTAATTATTACAGATTGATAATTAACCTCATATAAGTTTTGAAAACATCTTAATAAACTATATTTGACAAAAAAAAAAAAAAACTTAACAAGGATACTAGTAACTCCTAACTTTTTACATTTGAAACAAAAATGTAATAAACTTTACTAAAATAGTTAAATATATTACTTACAAAAAGTTAAAATATTGTTTTTTACTTTATAAATTAATTACCTTAGAAATAAATAATTAAATATACTTTATTTATATAAGGTATTTAAGGTTATTTTAGTCTTACTATAAAGTTTTATCTGCTTTATTTATGTAAAAGGAGATGCTAATTGAAATGACAGTAACAATTTTTGTTTATTATATATGAAATTTGAGAGATAAAAATGGATATAAGAAAAGGTTGAGAAACAAAGGTTTTTACATAAGAAAAGGATAACACCAACTAAAATCAATATTAGAGGTAAAGATTTTGGATTACAAGTAAACTCTAAATAACAAAACTCAAAACCGAGATAATGTGTTTGAAGTTCGATGAATTCTCACTTTTTTTAGGTATGTTAGTTTTTCATATCTATTAAAGGGATTTGTGATTTGATGATATATTTATTTTTTACTCATAACATGATGGCGAGAGGGTGACGAGTCTTGACATCATTATTGGCTTAATACACTACAAAAATTTACAATTTTACCGGGGGTTATTTTTTTCGTCTCCGGCGATTTTAACCTCCAAAAAATACGTTACCCACGGTTAGAAAAACCGTTGAGAAAAACTGCGTCGGTAAGTAATTTCCGGCGGTTTTTTTAAAAACCGCCGGTATTAGCGGGGGTTTGTGAAAACCCCCAAATATTAGCAAGAGTTTTGTGAAAACCGCCGTTATTAGCAGGGGTTTTGTGAAAACCGCCGGTATTAGTGGGGTTTTGTGAAAACCGCCGGTATTATTGGGAGTTTTCCAAAACCGCCGGTATTACCCGAGGTTTTCCTGAAACCGCCCGGAATATGCAATTCAGATTTTTTTTTGTATTTATAATTTTGATAAAAACTCTTTTTTTTTGTATTTATAATCAAAAAATTTGAAATTAAAATTTTATATTATAAAATAAATTATAAACATGTTTTAACACAACATATTGTTCAAATAATGATTTATATTTATACTTAATTACACCTAATAAACTAATATATAAACTAATAAAGTCCTCTTTAAAACCTATGATACAATAAGAACCTCACATAATTGCTTAAAAATTTCCATTAAAATGGTCTAAAGTGTAAAATCCTATAGAGTTGTTGAGTGAGTCCTTTTATTGCGTTTGAGATTATCTCTTTTTCTCCTTTGATGACCCACTGGATTCTCCTTTGATGACCCACTGGATTCTCCTTTGATGACCCACTGGTATCCTTGTAGGTAACCTTAAAACAATATAAACAAATATTAAACATCAAAATTTAGTACCCTAATTTAGTACCCTAAAACATTGTACATAATCAAAAAAACAAATGCCTAGTGAAAAATATAACCTTGCACCAAAAGCTCGAACTTCTCATTATTTGTACATAAAACAGTCACAGACACATACTGTTCTACCTATAAAGCATTGCATAATAGTTATATAGTTTTTTTTATAAACATTAAATAGTGTTACTTATACAATGCCGTGGTGGTTACACCAGTGGCAATTATTATCCTAGTTTGATGAACAAAACAAGTTATTGATTAGTTCCAACAGAGAAAAAAAAAAGAAATAAAAATAATGGTGATTACCTGTTAGACAACAAAATAAGAGTGACTAATAAAAGAAATCAATATTAAAATGTTATCAGCCACAGGCACAGTAATTGTCACATTAGTAACGTTGAATTTGAGAATCAGGGCTAAATCTTTCCTTTGACTTGAACACTCTGAGCCAAAAGGACAAAGGTAATCCAACTCTAACCAAATAAATAAAAAAGTTTAAAAAGAATACACTGATATTGTAAATGAGATTATTTTCTTGTTAAAAACTAATTAAATATGTTTATAGTCTTCCATAAATAAGACAATATTAATTTTTAGTCTCTTTTTCATGTAGCATTTATAAAACAAGACTGAGAATGGAAATAGTGTATTTATTTTTAAGTTGAAACCAACATTCAACTTGAATCCTCCAGTATTTTTTTCTAGTTACATTGAACTTCATAGAAAGTTGTAAAACTTGAATGCAAACATCCTATGATAAATTTTCATTGATGAGAAACAAAAGAGAATATAGTTTTAGGATTAAAATGAAGCTTTACATAAGATTTGAGGAAAGTGAAAGTGATAGGAAAGTTAAGCAACAAATGTGTTTGAGATACCTCACTCATGGTAGGTCTGCAAGTTGCAGATGCCCGAATGCACAGGGAGGCAGCAAAGGCTACTCTATTAATCTGTGTCACATCATAAGCCCCTTTGCACACACACACACACATATATAAATGTAAGACAATAAGCAACATAAAAATAATGAATATCATACCAAATGATAAGCTTAAAATATGCATCAGAAACTTAAAATTGTAAACAAAGAAAAGAAAACAACCTTCTTCTGTGAATCAAAGTACATACTATAGGTGCCACAGAAGGAGCTTCACAAAAGCTTTCTTCCACCATTAACGATAATTTTTCTAATAACAGATTATGGAATGAACTTACCATTTCTTCTTCATGTCGTCGTGCTTTCTCAAGTGCCCTTTCTTCTCTTCTTTTTTT